TCACCGCCCTCGCCTTCACGTCGTTCACCAACCAGCATGAACAGGGTCCCTCAAAGGCCTTTGACGCAAGCTGGTGGTTCTGGCTCGTTATGACTGGCCTGGGAATGGGAATTACTGTCAGCATCAAGTGGGTCGGCCTCTTCACGATCGCTTGGGTTGGAATCTTGACTCTCATACAATTGTGGGTGTTACTTGGCGACACCAAGACTGTTACCATGCGCATCTTTGCGAAGCACTTCCTCGCCCGCGCCTTCTGCCTAATCATCATCCCGACCACTTTCTATATGGCTATGTTTGGTATCCATTTCCTCTGCTTGGTGAACCCTGGTGACGGCGATGGATTCATGAGCTCCGAGTTCCAGGCTACCTTGAACAACAAAGGCATGCAAGATGTGCCGGTCGATGTTGCGTTCGGCAGCCGAGTCACTATCCGACATGTGAATACTCAAGGAGGCTACCTTCACTCGCACCCCTTGATGTACCCAACAGGCAGTCAGCAACAGCAGGTCACCCTCTATCCCCACAAGGACGACAACAACATCTTCTTGGTTGAGAACCAGACTCAACCATTGGGTCCTAACGGTGAACCTATCAACGGAACCCACGCTTGGGACAATGCGAAGAATATAACTGAGAACTACGTTAAGGATGGTGATATTATCCGACTATATCATCTAGCTACTCACCGCCGCATCCACTCTCATGATGTTCGACCCCCTATCACCGAGGCTGATTGGCAAAACGAAGTATCTGCCTACGGGTACGAAGGATTCGCTGGTGATGCCAATGATTTATTCCGTGTCGAGATCGTCAAGAAGCAGTCTCTTGGCCCTGTTGCCAAGGAGCGTCTTCGTACCATTCAGACCAAGTTTAGACTCGTTCATATCATGACCGGCTGTGTACTCTTCTCTCACAAGGTCAAGCTGCCGGAGTGGGCATCCGAACAGCAAGAAGTCACTTGCGCAAAGGGCGGCACTCTTCCCAACAGCTTATGGTACATTGAATCCAACGCGCACCCCGCGCTGCCTCCTGATGCCGAGAAAGTGAACTACGTCAACCCTGGGTTCTTTGGCAAGTTCTGGGAGCTGCAGAAGGTCATGTGGAGAACAAACGCAGGCCTGGTTGAGTCTCACGCCTGGGATTCTCGTCCCGAGTCGTGGCCAATCCTTCGTCGTGGGATTAACTTCTGGGGCAAAGACCACCGCCAAATCTACCTCATGGGCAACCCCATCATCTGGTATACGGCAACTCTTGCTGTTGTGATTTACGTGCTGTTCAAGGGTATTGCGGTTCTTCGATGGCAGCGCAGCTGCAACGACTACTCGAACGTCAATTTCAAGCGATTCGACTACGAGATTGGAACGTCAGTGCTCGGATGGGCTCTACACTACTTCCCTTTCTTCCTGATGCAGCGTCAGCTCTTCCTACACCACTATTTCCCTGCGCTGATCTTCGCCATCATGGCATTCTGCCAGATTTATGACTTCGCGACAGCTCGGCTTGCAATCCCAGGTGTCAGGGAAAACCCCATGGTCAACAAGGCCGGTGTTATTGCACTCTTGGCTATTTCCGCCGTCGTCTTTGCCCTATATTCGCCCCTTGCATACGGAAATGCCTGGACCAAGGCCGAATGCAATCGCGTGAAGCTATTCAACACCTGGGACTGGGATTGCAATACTTTCTTAGAGAACGTGAGTATCCCTCCCCAAGGCATGCCGTCGAGAGGGCGAGGTTAGATCTAGATGAGCACGTATGTTCTTGTCCCTCTCTGGACTATTTAAGACGGATATAAACTGCCTGTGAAAGGATTCACAGATTGTTGAATAGATGGTAGACTAACAGGTTGTTTAAATAGTACGATGCATACTCGACCCTTGGCTCAACTCCAACTTTCTCTCAGACTCCTCAACCCGCTGCAGGTGATAAGCAGCCACCAGCCCAACAGCCCCCTGCTGGAAACAACCAAGAAGCCCCAAACGCGGGCATCTCAGGGGCTCCCAAGTTCGAGCCCCAGGGTCAAAGGGTGATCGGACGGGAGGAGCGAGTCGAGTACAGGGACCAGAACGGCAACATTCTCAACGAAGAGCAGGTCAAGGCGCTCGAAGGCAAAGTCGAATTCAAAACCAAGTACGAAACGAGAACGCGCGTAATCGACGCCAACGGCAACGAAGTCGAAGTGCCAGTAGAAGAGCTAGCCGCCGCGGGCGTAGCGCCACCTCACCCTGACGTTCAGGGAGCTAACCAAGAGACTAAAAAGTTGGTCAAGGATGACCCGATCCCCAAGGAGGCGTCGTCGAGTAAGGACGGCGAGAAGGAAGCCGAGAGGTCGATTCCTAAGCCTGCTAGCGAGGGCAATGAAGCGACAGTTTAGACGTCTCAGCCCGTCGCTCCCACCCCCTAAATTGACTTCACGTCTCATTGCATTGTAGGATCATGACGAAAAATCTCCAATGGTATTGGTTCTTTCTGAATGTAAAGCATCTGGCGGGTTCGGACGGCGCGTCTGCTGGGCTCATGTATACCACCATTCTAATGAAGATCACGGAGGGGTAAAAACTTGGGGAATGCGAAATGCAAACAAAAAGAGAAGTTAAGAGAGGGTCTTGCAGAGACGTAAAATTACATGTCAGTTACAAACTTGCTGATCGCTACCTATTTCCTTTAATCTGAAGATTTCCACTACTCTCACGTGTCGTCGATCAGGGAGAACTTCGGGACAATGCGAAAGTGTTCGTCATAATCCTCTATAGTAAAAGGGGGGGCTATCGTGTATCTCCAATAGGGATGGCTTGTGACTAGTTTTCGACGGGCCGAAGCTCCGCCACGCGGAACCATAGGCATGTAGTCCGAGTTTCTAATCGCGACAGGTAAATTGTAGGCATTCAGATATATGTAGTATGTTCTGACTCCGTTTAGCAGGCTCGTAAATGTGCGGGGATGCCATATCTCTCTACCGTACATAAATAGGCAAAATCCCCATTGGACAACTAAAAAATAGGTACGGAAGAGCTCAGTTCAATTCAAATAGAAGCATCAAACTCCTCTCGATGTCACAGACAGCCGAGGTCTCAATATCCTGCCACTGCGGCGCCGCGAAACAGACGGTAATCCTGCGGCCACCAGAGTCACAAGCGACGCCATATCCGCTGGATGTAAGCCTCTGCCATTGCCATGCGTACCGCCATACCAGCGGCTTGCTGTGCGTCTCCTATGTGCCTATATATACGCCGCCGTCCCTCAGCGGTCTCAGGATATATTTTGATGAGCAATTGCGAGCATCTTTGAGAGCTAGTCTCAGTCGCTATTTCTGCAGTACTTGCGGCTGCCACGTCTTTCAGCTCGCGCAGCGCTCTCACAATGACAGTGAAGAATCCGACGAGCTGTGGGCTGTAGCAACGGGTATTATTATTGGGCGAGCTGTGGCTAGAAATGCTGAAGAAGGGGTTGATGCGGAGGATGAAGGGCAGAAACCACTTCTGAGGATTGCTAGACATATTGGTACAGCCAGTACCAGGGACGGTGGTTTGTCCCCGTTTATAGATGTTGAGTACGCTGAAGAGCCCAGCGAGCTAGGAAAGCATGGGCATGAGGGAGCATCATTGCCACATCACACGGCGAGTACAGTGGAGGACGAAGTAGAGAGCAGAGACCATCACAACAAGGAAGATGATAAAAATGTCCTACAAGCGCGCTGCCACTGCAAGAGCGTGCGCTTCCACATCACACGTCCCGACGCCTCAAGTCGACTCCCGCACTCTGGCTTCCCAGATTTGATGATCCCATTCAAAACCTCACCGCGTGAGGTAATCACCAATCCTCAAAACGAGAAATGGTGGCTCTGTCCACAAAGAGACCCAAATCCAACCAAATACCTGGCTGGTACTTGCGCCTGCCGTTCCTGCCGCCTGACCTCTGGCTTCGAGATCCAGACATGGGCGTTTGTGCCGCGGAGCAATATCTTCTTCCTCCCGCCTTCCACATCCTCGACTTCCACTCCCCCTTCGCTTACTCCATCTGGTTCCATCCCACTCGACTTCACAACCCTCCCACCTGGCATTCTCCAGAGCTATGAAAGCTCCCCTGGCGTTTTACGTGAGTTTTGCCCGCGATGCGGTGCCACGGTCTTCTGGCATGACCGCTGGCGGCCAGACCTCGTCGACGTGAGTGTTGGATTGCTTGATGCCCCTGAGGGTGCCCGGGCTGAGAAGTGGCTGGATTGGTGGTGTGGGAGGGTTAGTTTTGAGGAGGATGCTGTCAGTGAACGGGTTGGGGAAGTGGCCGGCTGGGCAAGGAACCTGGTGGGCAGTCTAGCTAAGGGGTTAATGCGGTGGGAAAATGAGGAAGGGAAGAAGAGTTGATTTTGAAGAAGGGTTAGCTTTCACATGGGACAACTTTTCATACTTGTCGCCCTTAATATCATTCACATTCTACGAGAACGGGCTTAATTAGGAGAAAGTTCTCAGCAAGCTACGATATGCCAGATATAAGGAGAGCCCATTTCAGCACGCCTTCAGCAACGTCATATAGATAATCTATTTCTCGGCTTCGCCAGCCCGCGAATTGCTTTGGCGCGCTTTTCAACTGAGCGATGCCATTCAATGTGGTAAGAAGTACACTTCATCGGCGTTAACTATATGGCCACCGAATGATATCAGCCTGTTTGAGTCAATTTATACATTTCTAATACTAGAAATTTGCAAACAGGATGCCTCATTACGATAGCTCCGTTTCCATCAATAGCTTGCCGTCGCTACATAAAGCTTTGATTAATTTTCCTTGCCACCAGCAATGGATAGACTTCTAATTCTTAATTCAATTCATTCTACTCTCTCTGTGGCAACTCCGATTAGAAAGACTTCCGCATTCGCTGACCCCAACCAGTGTCCGAACGATATTAGCACGGCTCGCCCATCCGATCTCGCCGGCCAAGCCAAGAGCCAAAAAGATTTTCTCACCGCTTGATCCACTACACCAAGGGCAAGAGCAAAAAGTTATAGCTGGGGCTCAACCGGGATTTGAACCCGGGACCACTCACAATATCTCATTCCATGAGATGGGATCCACGATTGGCATCGTATAGGCCCGAAGCGAGTATCCTACCACTAGACCATTGAGCCTTCTCGCATAGGGTTTCTACCCATGCGATTGGCTGACAGTTTGCTGTACGACCTTATGGATTCGATTCCAATCGCTTGCAGTGCTTCTCCTAACCGAAGGGTCTAGGTAAGCAAGTCAAAGGCAAGAACAGCCAAGGTTTCAAGGGTAATACATCTATTGCAGGCACAGCACATAGGGAAATAGCTAGCCAGAGCTTTCTCCTTCTATCACTCTGTCGAAGCGTAAGTTAGGCTTTGGGCTTCCCCCCACCTGAATCATACCAATGATACGTTCCCGAATACCTGTTAACATGAATTCAGCACGCGTAGTTCGTTCCAAATTCAAAAGTCAATAATCCAGGCTAGTTGATCATCAATACTGGCTCTGCGGAAGACTCGATGCCTGATTCTCTATACACAGGCGCCCTCAAGCCATTACTGCCAATACCAACCCGTCTAACAACTGTCAGACCCTCCCCATCATGGGTACGCTATACGTTGGGAAGAGAGATGGAAGATCATGACGTAGTGTAGGGCGTCAACTCTGCGATTCTTACTACGTTAGGTCATGGTCTTCTAGGGCTGATATGGCATGAGGCGATAGCCAGCATCGATCCAGTAAAGTATCTTTCTGAAAGTGACGTCCCTATTTTATCCTCCTGGTTTGCCCAACGACCTGAGTTACGAACAACTCAACTATGAGGTCGAATTACACTGTCCGAGTGACTCACTCTGGTTTCAAAGGCCAACCAAGATAGGCACATCTCACCACCGACTACTCGCCTCCGACGCGGATACCTTCCAAATAGACCACCGAGACTGGGATAGATATTGAATAATTACCATAAGTGTTGGTAAAGCTCAGCTCCATCGAGATTGGCAAAAAGATTTCTTGGAGAGCTGCTTTCCCAGTGCTCATCCCCCTTGCGGAGCATGTTAGAGACGCTCGTTCGGAAGGTGCTTCATGATGTAAAAAAGTTTCGAGACTTCTCACTAGAAACCACGACCTTCGCGGTTGCCAAAAAGGAGAACCAATGGTCCCAGAGAGGCTCGAACTCTCGGCCTTCGCATTATTAGTACGACGCTCTAACCAACTGAGCTATGGGACCAGACCAGAGGCTCTTGGATGAATTTTCGTGCTGTAAATAGGGTTGAAATAGGTTCTAGGTGGTGAAGTTGAGAAAATTTTCTCGACAAACGGGCCGGAGTTTATGAGATGGGCAGGATGGGTCGGATCCACCGAGCGGCTTAAAGGGCGGAATCGTCTAGTCTCAAGCTATGTAGGTCTACTAGTAAAGCTACGGTTCCACAAGTACGAGATATTGTGTAGCAAGATATTCGGCGAAACCACTTGGACTTCTCGCGAATAGTAATTCCTGCCCTTTCTGTTTTCTGCTGGTGTATATTGCGGCTCTCATTCTAGTGTTGGGAGTGTGAAACTTTGACCGAAGGACATCTGGGAAGGCATCTCATAGCACGTAGTTTCTACAATTAGGAAAGATGACGAGAAAAGACTATAGCATACAGTACTTCCGGACTGTACTTTGCCCCCATGAGTCAACTCCACCCAGGTACCTCAAATAGGTCTAAGATGAAAATTCTGCTCTTACCTTCTCTCCACCATGTTTGTATCTACTTAAGGGAACTAGAACGGCCTTTCTTCATCAATCGCCCTTGCTGGCCTCACCAGCGAGTGTTTCACAAGCATCAGTGGTTTAGTGGTAAAATCCATCGTTGCCATCGATGGGCCCCGCGTTCGATTCGCGGCTGATGCATCCAATTCATTTTTTTTTTTTTGCCCGTTTGACATATTGATCAAGCTCTATAGAGACCTTTTTAGTCTTGACTAGCAGCAAGGAAAAGTTATGTCTGTATTTATCCATTAAGTTTTGAAATGGGCAAATTTACTCTTTGGTGGTCAACCCAGAAATATCAGGGGTAGTAGGTAGGATACACAATAGACGAGAGAAGATATAGCAGCACATGCTACTGGCGAAATTCCCCTAGATGTCAATGATCACAAATTCTTACTTAAGGTTTATACCTACATAGTACTAGAATCGTTGTACAGTATGGCTTCATATGCCCGCAATCCCTCTGATGAGTTTGTGTAGTAGTGTAACAGGTCCTGTGGCTTGAACGGCGAGGGAGACTGAATGCTACTACTACTGCACATACCAGCAAGCGTCACACAGTCGTCCTTAAATCATTTTCGACACCTAGATAAGCATGAGTTTACTAGTACAATATGAACACAGGGAATTTTTGGACTTTTGTTTATGAGCAAATAGATGTGGGCGTAAGCTGGTGCAGTGTGACGACCTTCGGAGTAGAAAAACTCACCAGTACTACTTACTAAGCTGTTTAACAATGTTTGCTGTCCTCGTATCCTGCCAGGGCTACTGTACTGTAGCTATAAAATCCATAATCTTGGTGGATAGGAGGGAAGCACATACTTTCTGGTGTGAGGATTATATATGGTACGACCATGGCCTTCCTACGAACTCGCAAGGCTGATTTCGGGAGAACCTTATGGTTCGGAGCCGGAAGTGGCTATTGCTTGACGTTACTATTCTCCGTGAGTCAGGTCCGCACGCATGTTGTCGATCATGCCGACCCGGTCCTTCTCATGTCGTTTAAGGAAAGAGATCGCGGGATGTCTCGGAAGAAGCCCCTGAGCCGGGACGAACCGGTCGGACACGGAGGATCCGGCATCACCCGAGCGCCACCGGGTCTTCTCGGTAAGATCAGGGAGGAAGGCGCAGCCACGATGAGGTAGTCATGCATGTTGGGATGCTTCCTCACCGCATTCCTCCTATGAACATCACGAGGATGAAGTAAGGGCATACGTAATCCATAACATGATCCCAAGACTCTGCTACGGATCCATCCCGATACTTCCCCTGAGATTGCCCAGCCCGTGTAAGATCCGGATATCTTCTCACCTAGTAGAAAATCTCGGCACGTTCTATCCGAGCCTTCACCATGTTTTCTTTGCCTACATGAGAGGCGAAGGATCCCGACGGGAAGAACCGTCACCGAATCATTGCCTGTCATATCCCATCCACATCCATATCCCGTGTCCAAGCCCTCCTGCCTCCCCCTCACCCTCATTTCGTCTATCGGCCGGTGAAGAGCTCAGGATCGAGTAAACGTGAAGAGATCAAAGACCTTGTCGTCGGTGAGAAGAAAACGTCAAAGCCATGTCTAACCGCGACCCCCCTGATATGGGCATTTCGGCACGTAGGCAACGTAGCAGCGACCGATATTAAACCCGAAGCTTCGACCGCCGCCAACCCCTGAGAGCTTCTCGTCCCAGGAAAGTGTACAGAGAGCAAACCGGTCCAGCGCCACAGAATAATAGCCAAGATAGAACAAGCTTTTCGCATGCACCGTCGAGGGTTACGCGGCATGAAGGACATTACCACCTACGTAGTGTCTTCGCGCGATATTTACCGGTATATGGCTGACAGGCAAAGTAGGCATATGTAATGTAATGCCATGTACGTCGGTACTGTAGCGTTAATAATATATATATGTTAGGTACGTATCTACGTAGACGGTAGGTCGTGGTAGGTATGGTAACTCTGCGTGAGGTGACATGACACTGGCAGGGCAGGGCATCGGAGACGGTCCAGACATGTCCTGGTAGAGGATTGGCCCCCAGAAACTAATAAAGCCCCGATGCGCACGGCTCGAAAGAGAAAATGACCATATATCACGTCACACACCGACACAAACAGACTCGCAGCCTCTATTATGCCGCATGACACACACAACCCCCATTCTTGCACCCTTTCCTCCCACTAAAGAAAAAAATAATTCTTTCGCGAGGAGAATAGTTGAATTTTATAGCTCAGCCCAATCACGTCAGATTATTATAACTCAATCGGTAAGGGAGGGTAAGGCACGAGGCTCGGGTAGGTAAAGAACGGATAACGGATCTGTAGTAGGCGTTCTGGCAGCATAGTTTCGAGGAAGTACCGGAGACTTCGCGAAGACTTTGTTGGCTCAGCTATACAACAAGGGAAATATGACACACCCATCATTACTTACTGAGACAAGTCAGCCTGGATAGTCTGGCTTGCTCCAGGCCGTTCTTCGCCACGCTTATCCAAGGCCCAAAGATCTTACGCATAATTAGTGCATCTGAGATGCAAAGTCGCGCAGCAGCGAAAAGCAAGAGACAGCGAACACGCCCGCAATTTTCTGTCCGTATCGGCTTACTAGTTCTTTCCCTTCTCCACAAGTCTTGCGTCTCATGATCTGCTTTACTCGATGACGGTCCCGTAGCCGTGATATGCATATTGTGTAGGTAGTTCTAAGCTTTCTCCAAGATGCGGCTCCCTTGGCAAGGAGATGCCAAGAGACGGGCATCACGCCAACAGCCGTCTTGCAGGCTGGGCATTCGAGATTCTGGGGAACCCCAAGGCAAGCGAATCTGACAGAGCCAAGAGAATCCCTAGTAGATGTCTTCGGGCGTTCTTCCCGACATTCTGACGTCGGCTCTCGTTTGTCGAGGACTTCTGCCCTGTCCCGTTTATTTTCGAACCGTACCGTACTGTCACTGCATGACTGCACATCCTATAACGCAGAGGGCGTCTTCCGCGTATAGTACACAGCATATGTTGGGGTCTCAACGTACCTCATACAAGAACGTGTGCGTGTGACTGCAGGCGATCAGGCTATCAGACGGGATATCCTGTACGACGACAGGTAGGCGACCGATCCCCCATCCCATCCCCTACATGGCGCAGCGTCAGCTGTCATGCATTTCCTCTGCCGCTACCGCTAGATCAGACTAACAGTACCAGTCCTAGTTAGTATACTTTAGTGGCAGGACCCCGGGAGGCCCTAGGAGATAAAAAAAACCGCTACTAGCTCACAATTTGGAAAGCCGGCGCAAAATACCGGCAAACGTATCCCCACCGGCCTTTAAACCCCCCACGCAAGTGGAAGCGCTGCAATCAATTGAAACTCATCCATGTTGCCGTTGTATGGTCACCCGCCGAAGGAAATCC